TTAGAACGATATGGTCATTGAACTATATAATAAATTAATAAAACTACTTAATAAATTATTTTTTTATTTATAATAATTAATGTGGATAAGTGAATTTATTAAGTGATTTCAAACGAATGTTTACCCGGTAATCATAGACGTACTTATAGGCTGCAAAGGCCGTGGCTGTATAATTACAAGTGTATCAATGACAATTCAAATACACAACCGAATACTTCAAAAATTATATCTACAAATGGTCAGTGAATGATTTTTATTTTATCGGAAGAGATATTTTAAAGTCTAAAATTACCACGGAAATATTATTAGAAGTGACTAAAAAAAAATTCTACGCATTTTAAACACAGTTTTTAGATTTTCTAAACAAAAGGAATGTGCAACGTCTATACTAAAAGCGGTTAAATAACAATTACTCAAAATTTGGCTGAAAAGAACTCCACCCATATTACTTGTTGAATTACAATAGTCCAAAGGTCTTTAGATTATTTTTATATTACATCATGATGGATGAGGTTGACTATAATTGTCTAGATATCCTGTGCATTCGCACCAGTCACCTCGCGCGTTTACCATTATTAGAAAATGAATAGGCCGGACAATGACTTCCGATTCGGAGTAAAGAGATCGCCCCCGTTGAAAATAACAGGAAGAGGGAAAACGTTTTTACCTGATTACCTAACAGGAAACGTCTGATCAACGGCACATTCAATTATCGCTAGTAAAGAGAATTTCAATACAATAATACCCGGTACTATTACCATTATTAAATTTGGTTCGTCATAAAACAATGACTCATTACCGACCGAGAAACCGAGTGCACATATTCCACAAATGATAATGGTAAAATTTGCTATACAAATAAATGCAACACTACGCCAACTGACTGTTTAGAGTAGGAGTCACTAAAAGGACGTCATCTTCTCGGCCTTGAATCATCTCTGCGTGAATAGAACTGCTGTTGTAGTAAAAGTGTTTTTTATTCAGAACAATTTGCGTTTACTATACTCGAATGTAAATCGGTGAACCTGTATTAAACAAACACTAAACGTGACACGTTTGGTTCTTATTTATACGCATTTAATGTGTTGACGTGTCTTTATTTACAAATCGTATAATACTGTTGTGTTACTTTGGACCAGATTTATATTTGTTCTATCAAAAAAGCTCAAAATTCCTTCGTGAAGCGTAGAAAGGTTTACACCGACTTAGTACACGAATAGTATTATTAAATGAGATAATTATTTGCTAAAAAATAATAACGTGAACGTTATTAGACTTGAAAAAAAAAAAATTATTTGCTATAAAATAGTTTAAATTCTTAAGCATTTGATAATATTTTGTGATACTATAAACAATTTTGTTTTATTTTTGAAATAGGAAAACACATAGTGTATTTAGTTTTTAATTTATTATGTATTGATGTATTTAAATTTTGGTGGAACCACAGGTTGATTGGGGTTTTATATATTTTTTATAGATATACAGGATTTTAAATATTATCAAACCAATATGTGTTCACTAACACCGTAAGAATAAAATCTGAACAGTATTTATATCACTTTAGAACACTACGATCGATGATTAAAATTACTAATGGATTGTTTTCCGAAATAACGTAGTGTCACATTTAAATATTTTTAGTTTTTTCAATGTAAAAGAGTTCACCGCTAACTACGTTTACATTAGACCCGCGTTAAGTGCTAACATGGTTATTAATGTACCCAACGTTGTTTTTTATTCGTATTTTTAAGTAAAGGGAAGATAATACATTTTCTTGTGTTTATACAAGAAATCCAAATAGAATTATCGTTGGACAACCTCAATTATCTCTACTTGTCAACAAATTACAAGACAAAACTGTAACTTGAAATTTTTGTTTTAATATTACTGCGTTTGTTACCAGACAATCTTGCTAACAAATTTTTTTATGCTGTTATTTAAAAATACAACAAACGAAATTAGTCATCCGGAGATGTCCGATCAACCGGATCAGTTATTCCGCTGATAAATCCACCACGTCTCTTACACACGACACAACGGTTCATAACGTCATGATGTATTTGAAATGATGTGTCATTGATTTTGTCAGTAATGACGTTACAAACTTTTGATGTTTTTTTTTCCGACAACTATGTAACGCATTAATTCGATTAAGAGTCATATTGAAATAAAGAACTTTAAGTCGGTGGCGTATCTAAGGGACACTATAGTTTCTTCCATTGGCCATTTATCACTACAACAGTGTAAGACTGCGTTAATGAGATCATGTGATAAGCGAAAAATAAAATAAAAGCCCTTAACCTCGCGAGAAAAAATCTCGGCTACGTCACTGTTCAACTAAGTTGTCGCAATTAAAACAGTGTTTATTGAAATATGGCTAAATGATACTAATTTGTGTTACAACAAAATAAAATAATGTATTTAGACATAATTTTAGTAATATAATGATTAACTTGCTGTAAACGAGTCTAGTTAAAAGACTCTCAAGAATTTCAACCTTTTTATTATATTAAATGTAAATTGTAATTTTAAAGCAAATCAATTTTTAAATTTCATTTTTTCTTCGTGTTAAAATACTTTTAACGTTACTTGTATATAATTTTATGCTATTAAAGTATAGAAATAAACAATTACTCTTGTACATATTCAATACTAATATATTTAATTACTTCTTTTATCAGAAACTATCGAATTTCAATTGTTATGAGCTTAGACTTCAGATAGATATATTAGCTATATAAATTAAAAATAAGGATCTACTTTAATTTCCACACGAGTCAATCAAGAATTAATTCACTTAAATAATATTTATAATTTTGAATTAATGTTATATTTATTTGTTGTGTATAAATTAAAATAAACAAATACATTAGTAGCCAGTGTAAAAAGTTGATTAGTTCAATAAACTCAGGTAAATGTAAAAACAATTTAATAGTTTTAGTATTTCGTTTTTTCGTGGGAAAATTTAAGGTACGTTTGATAATCCGACGGGAAGCTTTAAATTATACGGTGAGTATCTTAAAAAAAAAAAGGTTTCCTGCGTTACACCTTTTTAGGGTTACTGTACGACCGAGGGGCGTCGTCTACACACACAGAAGTCGACACTTCTGTATAATGCGTTTAACGAATAAATTGTCTCTGCATTTCAGTTAATAGGCTAGCGTGATACAATACGTGTGTCTAATTATCTTCAGCAGCCACTTTTTGCTCATCCGACAAATCAAACAGAATTCTGTGTCTCCAGTTAACTGGTCCCCGATGACATTACGTTTATGATTAGACTACAGACTTTATGTTTTGATTTTAAGTCGGTTTAGGTTATTGGCGCATTAATCATACTAAGCGTGTAAAACAAAATGAATCATTCTAACGGAATCCTTCGTTGCCTAAACGTGCACTACTACGGTAACAACAAATTATTTAAATATTGGTTTTTTTTGAAATATTGTAACGTTTTGTGTGGACATGTCAGTTTTCGTTATGAAAGGTTTATCGAATGTCTTTAAGGGCAAGTTAATTGGCAAACAAACAAGCAAATTATAATTAATACCATCACATTGAATAAAATAGCGACGATACAAAAAGTTCCAAGTAGCTACTTATTAAAGAGCATTAGTGACGTTGTTTAAAAATCGGCGAATGAAGTGCACAAAGCAAGTATCTGAAGTCGCTGTGCTTGCCAATTTACTTGCTAATGGCTTTTTATTAAAAATGAAACTTGACGTGAAAAATTTCATAAACGGAGAAAGTGCAGCAAAGAAAAAAATAATTTATTCTAAACTAATTATATTAAATATTTCTGATCGTCAAGTTACATGATAACAAATCAAAACGCTTAATTAAAAATGTACGTTTTCTCGGCGAGACTGTTTTATTATTTTATTTGGGGGAAAGCCATCGTAACAGTGTAATATTTTGTGAATGGAGTTGAGGAACTCGTCGATGTTGCGAGTCGTCAGTCAACAGCGAAATAAAATTCATCCAAACAGGTTTATTGGAAAGGAATCAGACAAATATGTTAGCAGGTTCGACAATGTTATTACTTTTTTTTATTTATTTTTCACATCAGCCCGGTCGCTTATGTGACGTTTATAGATTTTAATGTTCGTTACATTGAGTTTATAAGAAAAAAAGACTCTCCATAGAATATTACATTGGGGATTTTGTAATAAAATGTTTTTGTGTGTTTCTTGAAATTGCTTTCTCCGGCGTGGAAAAAATTAAAGAGAAAATACTCTACGCGTTTGTGTTGCGTTGTTTTTACAGCGTTTTCGTAAAACGACCGAGGTAAGTATTTTATGTAACGTAAATAGGCGAATACCATTAGATTTTTTGAACCAAACGTGTTTCTTTAAAAGTATTTCGAGGGTGGCTATTAGGGTGACAACGGCCAGTAAAACGCTAATAAAAAAACCGTTAAAACACCACAGGGCTCGGTAATTTTTTTTTTTTTTCAACTCGGACGTGCGGATTTTAGGAAACGTCCAACTGTTATTGTGTTGTAAACATGGCGTTTGTCAATTACAGACGCCAAAAAAGGTTATTACCTTTAAAGGACAAATAACCGATTCTATTATTTTGATATTATTGGTCGGACGCACCTGCACACCGGTAGAGGATGTGTATAATGATGTAGATGGTATGGGTACGTACGCATCCTGAACGCGGTTCGAGTGAATGGTCGCCGAGATCGGGTGGAGGGTGTGGTGGAGGAGGGAAAGGAATAATACTTACATGTCGTTTCGATTCCTTCTCGGTCTCGCGGTGTACGCACGCACGGAGTAGGCGTACCTCTATCACGGCCGGCGAGTTGTCCATTGTTGTCAGATGTAACTTGGGTTTCCTCTTATATGCCTCCTCCGTTTTATGAAATAGGTACGCTAGGACGACTTCACGGGCCGACGGGAATGCGGTCGACGCCGCCGTCGTCAGGTAGGGCAAACCGCCTGTGCTAGTAGATTGGAAAGAGGGGGAAACGGCGGCCGCCGTCTTTCGGTTACACCGCCAGCACCACCAACAGTCCGTACCGGTTTGTTCGCACGAGTCGTTCATTGCCGCGCGATCCAGTGTTATGTGAGCTGTGCTAATACGAGACTGTTAACTAAGTATTTAACCACATTTATTTTTCGTGCTTAACGCAACTTTGAGTTTTGTGTTTGTAGTGCCGCTGTCCAAGTTCATACAACACACAAGCGCGTTTTTTCGTCATTGCATATGTTATTTTTCGATTGTATCGCGAGAAATGTTGCTGCCGCCGTGTAAGATGCGTATCGTGACCGTAATGGCGTTGTGGTGTGCCGTATTGTCGGCGTTGGTGTCCGTTACAGCAGCTTTCGACGGTTGTCCGTCCGTGTGCTCGTGCAAGTGGAAAGGTGGACGCCGGACCGCTGAATGCGCCGATCGGGCTCTGATAACCGTACCCACCGGGGTCGACCCCGATACCCTGGTGCTCGACCTCTCTGGTAACAACCTGCAGATACTTCCTAACGAGACATTCGCCCGAGCGGGTCTGCAAAACTTGCAGAGAGTGTATTTACGCAACTGCCGCATAGGGCAAATCGACGAATCGGCGTTTTTCGGGCTTACCAACTTGATTGAATTGGACTTGTCCAACAATCTGCTTACACAAGTGCCGTCTTTCGTATTCCGCGACATCCCTCACTTGCGCAACCTGTCGGTCGCATGGAATCCCATTCAGAAAATCGAAAATCACGCCTTCTCTGACGTTATTGAAATCATCAAAGTAGACGCGTCACATTGCGGTTTGCAGTCTATAAGTTCCCGTGCTTTCGACGGAATCGCTCGTCTAGAAACCTTGAAGATAAACGACAATAAGCTCTCCGAGTTGCCGGCAGCCGTCCTCGAGACGCTCAATAAACTCCGGAGCATAGAACTTCACGATAACCCGTGGGTGTGCGACTGTTACTTGAGACCCATGAAGTTGTGGCTCTCTACAAACACGGTGCCGTACGGTCAGCCACCCGTGTGCATTGGTGGACCCGAAAGATTGTCCGGCAAGCCCATGATGGACCTCGACGTGGAGGACTTTGATTGCCGACCGGACGTTCGCGTGGAATCGCGGTACGTTGACGTGGCCGAAGGCGCTAATGTCTCCGTACGGTGTCGCGTCGAGCCCGGGTCGATGGCTCACATCGCCTGGTATTTCAACGGACGTCGTCTGCAGGCCGCTGGAGTTCCTATAGGCTATCCGTCGATTCCCGTTAATCCGCGAATGATTTTTGTCGATACCACCGACGAGATCGGCGGTCGTCGTAGCGAAATGACTCTCGTGGACGTGCACAAAGATGACGCCGGTCAATATTCGTGTTTGGCCGAAAACAGAGCTGGTAATTCGGAGGCCAACTTTACTGTATACGTAACTGAGCGACCGTCGGTGATCATGTCTACGTTTGGAACAGGACCTATTAATGGGATTGCCGCTGCACTAGCCGCTCTTATACTATTCATATTGGTGCTTATCGCTCTTACTGTAATACGCATCCGTCGGTCCGGTTACCCGTCTGATACAAAACCTACAGCGACCGTCAATAACCATCAACATAAACCGAGCAGTATGATCAGCGGCGGTAAGTCGAATCCCGCACTGGACATATCTTCTGTTATTGAGCATAACTACGACCCCGATCTGGAAACACGGCCGTCGGTCATCACCCCCAATGGGACTTACCACGTCACCGGACTAGACCTTATACACGATCACGACGCGTCCAGATTAGAGATGTGCGATTCACCGCTATCGGCTAAGCCACCATCGTATTACAGCGGCAGTAATCGAACCATGACGACGGGTACGCTGCGGCCTTACGATGACCGGACGCCAATAATCGGCGGCGGCGGTGGTGGTTGCGGGGACGCTTACAGCGTAGGTACGGGATCTGACGAAGTGTTCTCGTACAACAGCGGACAACAGCCCTATCCTCTGATGCAGTCGCCCGTGATGTCCAACGTCAACAGCGAGTATCCAGCCGACTATGGATTACCAATCATTCCACCATTACCTCAACACCATCAAATGCACCCCGAAGATGTACACAATTATCACCAATCTCACCAACCTCAACAGCAACAACCGCCAGTGAAGACTCTACGAGTGTGGCAAAGAGGAGTGCCTGTGCTGCCGACAACGCCATCCCTTCAACGGTTTACCAACAGGACATCACCCACAACGCCCGGGACAGACGTGTAAATGCAACGATGCCGTACCAAATGATTTTTCTCTGAATGGTTTTTAATGACGGGGGCGGGACAGTCGAATATTTTTTTTTTACATTTCACTTCTTTTATACATATTTATATGAATGGTGTATTCTTCTGTAATGCGCGTTTACTTTTTTTTTTGTTAATTAAACAACGAACGTGTGTCGCCGCCCGCGTTTTCATAGGTACCTTTTATTATATACTTTTTTATTTCGTTAAAAGTTTTACACGAGGGAGTCGAGCGACGCGGATTTGTTTTCGCAAAGACTTTCTTGTTGTTTTTTTTTTTAAGGGAAGGTCATTGGTCGTCCAAAGAACCGAATTCAATTTTGTAGGGTTTGTTTTTTCCCTAGCGGCCGTGAGATCTCATTCGTTACGGAGATGCGCGTTATGCCGAATGTTCCTATGTATTTAGGTATTACTTATTGTACTATACGGTTTTATTGTATAAATATTTTTTACTTCAAAACATGGCTGTGATGATTTGTGTTTTTTTTTCGTTAGAATAGAAAAAAATTCGTATATTGTAATATATGTTATTATTTTTATTGTATAGAAAGTGTAAAAATATATGTGTAATTATAAATATCATCACGAAATACCAAATCAAACTTTTTTTTGTATGTTAAGAAATGGAGTAAAGAAACAGTATTTTGTTGTTGATCGTCGATTTATGCTTTTAAATGGCCTTGTATTTTCATATTTGTATCTCATGTTCTACTATTTTCTATCATTCTTAATGTATTTGTGCTAAAACAATATCACAGTGACTTTTTGTTGTCCGTAATAATAAGATATGGTAATATCAAAAATATATAAAATTTGTATAGTATTTATTAAGCCGATTATTTATACGCAAAAATTACTTGTACAGATATTAATTAAAAAACAATAATGAAATTTCAATACATTCGTATTTTGTTAATGAATTATGAACACCAGTTATCCTTGACATAGGTGATATATTCTGTTGTGTCGATGACGCAGTCACGGCAATGAAGTTTTTTTCCCTAAACGAAATCCGACGGTCGCGGGAAAGTTCGAAGGATGTGCATTTTTTTGTAATTTCCTTCTTTTGAGACTGTACGAGAGGCGTACAGACGGACGGGTTAATTATTCGGTCATTAGCGACCGACCGACGAAGAGCAGACCGAAAGAAGATGGTGTTTTTTTTTTTATTTTCCATCGTCGTACATTTCGGGTGAATGGAGTTACCGAGTGAAAACACTGAGAGGGGACAGAAAACGAACAAAGAGAAACGGGGAAGAAAAAATAATAAAAAATCGTAAGCCGGTTAAAATCCGACGGTTACGGACAGGTAGATGTACAACAATCGCACGAAAAACAGCATTGCCTTAGAGCCGCAGCAGCAATGACAGGGAGAAAAAAGAAATAAAAGGAAATTTTTTTTTATTTCATATTACACGGCCGTTTTTATATTCTACGGTCGTTCACGATTTCTGTACCACCACCCACACCGTCCACCTCCCCTGTACCCCCGTCCGTTCATAATAATCTATATAATGCGCCTGCAGCGGTTATAGGCATCTAACCTCACAACGGCCTGTACACCCGGCGACTGCTATTCGAAATCTCACGTTGCCTCGACACGGCGTTTATGCATGACGTTTCCTATTGTCAGTGTCTCGTTTGATGCACCTGGTCAAATCACATCGGAGACGATGCCGGCAAATCCTTTGCCTCTTTGAAAAGGTTTTAACGTAAAACCTCGCCGACTGATAGATAAAGGAGCAGCTAGTTAAATACTTGTTTAAGACACACGATTGTAGTGTAACGACATTTTAGTGTTCGTTCTACTGTGCGATGATCGAACATTTTTACCGACGAATATGATTATTTACTTTTGTACTTGCAGCAATTTAAAAGAGGTTTCTACTTTGGGTGCGACATACCAATCGTGTCGTACGTTATAGCTGATACACATAATACAAAAAAAATTCACTATATATCTAGTATAGCCTGTTTTTTTACAGGATCCGGTTAAGGTTTACAGGGTAAGGTTTGAAATGTATGTTGATGAACACCTTGTAAAACTTTTAATTCCGTAAAAGCGCAACGTTGGCAATGATTGTGAGCTTGCTCTCCTTGATTATGTCTATCAATAGATCTAGTCGTATGTTTATTTACACATAAATTATAATTTATTAGACAAAATATATTCCGCGGGGGAACGTATCATAGTAAATAAGAAGTTTTCAATGATGATGAAACGATGATTCATAGGAAATATTCAGTTCACGGTTTAAAAATTAAAATTCTTTATTGTATAGATCATCTAATGAATGTAATTTATATTACTACAATTTTAGACTAAAGTGCCGAGGTTCAAACAGCTGTTAAACATAAATCATGTTAAGCGAGTAAAAAATTATTTAGGTCAATAAAATGTATTTCACTAGAAGTACCTTATTAGTATGCAATATAATGAATAAAATATAGAGTATGGCTTACGCATTTTTTTAAATTTTACATACAATTTGCAAAGCGGTCCTAAGTTTATTTAATTAAATTCTTATAATATTAATTATTGATTTATGATATTAATTGGTTTTCTTACGGGTTTATTGAAAATAAAATAAACACTTTTCAAGTAAACGACCGTATAAATTAAGATATTACTCAAAGTTTTGAAAAGATTAAAACGAGTTATGATTTCAAATATATATATATATATATATCTTTAACCTTTTAAGTGAATTCGGTGAAGGTCAAATAGACACACTAATTTTTACATGTCAATGCAATTGGATTGATGGAATGGCTCATGTAATAAATCGTTATTGGTCTTTTTTTACATACTAATGTATGAGTTCGGAGAATAAGTTTAGTTGTTTGTTAAAAGTTTGAAATCAATATTTTGCTGAACTTACCAATTTTATTTGAAAAACTTATTGAATTTAAATGAATGGGAGAAAAAATGATATTATGGTCAGTTTTTTTTCTAGTCAGCTATTTTAAAATTAACAAATGTGTACTGGATATAGTTAGTTTGTTTAAACATATATAATTAAAAATGCATTTAAACTGTTAATTTCAGTAAGTATAAAGTGGAGTTCGTACTATCTAATAGTAATACTTATTATTGAATGTAAGTAAAAGTACGCAAGTATTACTTTAATATTAAAATTCTTTGTGTCAATAAGACGTGCGTAAATTGGTAAGAACGTTAAGGATGTGATAATTGTGTACACTACATTAATACTAAATACTAGACGTTATATCAACACTATTTATATGCATTGTGTATTTACTTTAAAGCCACGTTATTTGCCTAAAAAAACATCCTTGAGTTTTAACGCGAATTGTTAATATGCAAACATTTTTTTAGTGTTACAACTGTAATTATTAAATGTAAGTTATTTTTAACTATTCATCCTAAAAGCAATAACCATATATTTTTTGTAAACTTGTTGATTGTGTCCAGAGTGTAATTTTCTCATAATTAACGTCTATTTAATTTTTCTACTGAACTACAAAAATAATTACGTCAGTTTATGTTCATGTGTCTACTTATTTTTAAGCTTAATTTACTTTATTCTATTTATACGGTTATAAGTAAAAAGTGACGAATGAAATGTTTTCGGTGTGATACAAATACTATCATTGGCATTAACTTGGAAAAATCAGATCTTGAATCTATTCATCTAATAATCGATATAATGAAAAAGTATCTAATTATGAATATATTTTTAAGTTAGTATTGTGTGATTTTTAGATAAATTGTTCAAAGGCATTTTATTACTCAGACGAGTAAGAACAATGCGACTGCAAGTTAAAAAAATGCATAAACAGCCAGACGGTGGAGCGAGTTTAATTATGATTTATTGCATTGCCCTCGGTTAATAATAATATATTTTTTTAGATTATTATATTGTTATTCAAATTTTTCCTCTTGTCTCTACGCGTGTGTGTATCTATGACAGGAACGGTATGAAATCTCCGACTAGATCTTAACTAGTGTCTTCCGTCCGTGGAATTATTAAATTGCTCTTGGCCAAGTTTGGTTATGATAACATCAGCTTACCGCCGTAGATGCCGTGGGGCTGCATTTTGATAATATTATGATTTCTGTGCGGTCTAAGAAAATACAACCGGCCATCTTAATGGTACGCCGGTAATGAAAACTAAACAAAACTTGGTGTAAATATTGTCGTTGATAATTTTGAAGTGGAAATAATGCAAGTTATAGAATTACAAGTACGAAACATAGTTCAACTATACTAGAAGAATACTGATGAGCTGCTTATCTATTCAGCAAGAAGTTGAAAAAGGGCTAACCTGCAAGTAGTTGTATTCTATTTTAATTTATTTGAAAATAACAAAAGCTCTAGTTTAAAAATAAGGTAACTTTGAAGATAAATTTTTATGTTACAGTTTTCTTTAGATAAAAATTGCCCATTATCTAAAGTTAACGAGAATCAGAATAATTTTATTTTTAATTTAAAGTTATAAATAAGTCGGATAAGTGAGCCATTTAGCTCAACATGTGTAGTACTCATAATATAAGTTTTTAATAACAAAAAAAAAAAAAAAAACATCAATTAAGGAACTATTCTATCTATCTTTAAACAAATACAGTTCCAATTTGTATCGAAGAGGATATCATTGTGTTCAGCTTAAGATACAGTAAAATAGCATCCTTTCGATTTGCTTGCTCGACCCACTAACACGACACAATATATTGCTCTGGTTAGCTTCCCACATAAAGTTTTAATCATTCATATTTATCCGTGCTTAACTATCACAACGATTATACAACTATTTTGTTTGCTGTGTTAGTAATATTCGTCGACCATGAACTTCTAATAGGCTATAAATTAAACTTAAATATTGAACGGAGAAGATATTAGAAATTATTTTATAAGTGAAATCTTAATATTTACCCACATTCATTACTCTATGCCTTAATCCTACTACTCGTGAAGTCTTAACCCTAAGACGAAAATAAAATATGTTGCAATATTACTTGTTGATACACCGAGTTGAATACTTAAATGCGTATGGGTTTTGACGGCTAATAAAAAAATTAGAATTACCACTAAATAAGTATGATGTGCTCGATGAAATGAACATCTTCATAGGCGCAGTTTCCCTAAATGGCCACGTCTTTTGATTGCAGAAGACAATTACGGTCCGTTAAAGATTTTTGAAATTCATTTCATATTCCAAATCAGTGTACACGATAATCATTTAAAAATATAAATTCGCCGTTAATTGACACAAGCGACGAATGTACAATACCTCGTGATTAATATTCTCATGAAGGCTCAGCGTGTGTTAACGAGTTCGATTGTTAAAAAATAAAATACCGACGGTATTTTATTGGCGGGTTTGCATTTACATACGCCAACACTTTATTATTAAATGTATAAACGGACCACATAATACAGTGTTGTATTTGTTTATTAACTCGATAATATTGTTACAGTAATAATAAATTCATTGGCATCTGGTAAAAATTTGCTCAGCTGTCGCACGTATTTTATTTATCTTTGAATTCAGTGAATTTGAAAAACCTATGCAAAAAACTATGCCGGTACTGGGTCGGGTATATGTACCCTATTGTCGAGTACCTGCATTACACAGGTGCAAAAATAGGTTCAGAGCGGTTGTTTTTCGACCCGTCAGCATCCGCCAAATTGCATTGTAAATAAAGCGATGGCACCTTTTTGAACGGAAAACAAAAAAAAACTAATTACTACCGTAAACAATAACTCGCAAGTAATGGGATTCGGTGTTTTGGAAAGGAGTTAGATATCAGTGAATAGTTTTGTTTGCAAAAATTTGTACTTTTTAATTTCAAGTGAAAATTATCGTAGTAACATAGTGTCGAAACACGATTAGTTCGAACTGTGCAACAAAAATAACGAAATTTTAGTTAGTAC